GAGCAGCAGCCTGGGGTCCTGGAGAATGTTCAGTTTTTATTTCTGTAGTAACCAGGTTAATTGATAGTTATTATTCATTCCTGATACACATTCTATGTAATTATCTGTTTGCTGGATTTCATCTGCACTAACATTGGCTGGTCTTTGTTGTGCAGGTGCCCCAAGAGCCGAGCACCTGCTGGCCCCACAGCCAGCAGTGGTCCCAGAGCTGCTGACCCACCTGTGCCTCTGCTGCTGACACAAGTGGGGCAGCTGGGCTGAGGTGTAAATTGGCAGGGGGGGGGGATTTCTTGTTAATAATTTTTTTCAGGAGGAGGAAAGACAACAATCTGAATGCTGCTGGAAAATAAGGTGGAACTTTGGATTAAAAAATAAATTATTTTTTGAATCTTATTAACCACCTAGCCGCAGGTGTTTGGGTTTTTGTCTCAGTTCCCTTTCTCAGGTGTTGGCTCCTTTCCAACAGACATTCCCAGGGAAATGTCTTGGAATCCTTGATGGTGGAATATAAGAAGCAGGTGATGATCAAAAGTTAGTGGTTAGGGCAGAGTTTTGGTTTTCTTTCCTGCTGTTTTTTGTGTCTGTGTAGTGAGAACAGCAATGACACCCTAAAAAACTGCTGCTCACATTTAACTTGCGCTTTATGATTTCTTTTTGTCATAGTGTATTGGACATAGAAAATGCAGGCTCTGCAAAACACAGGTGTGGTGAGTTAGGGAGTTAATTGATGGTGATTAGCGGAGATCAGGGACACCTGTGGGGGGCGGGCACTGGTCTGGCTGCTCCCCAGTCTGGGCAGAGCCACCAGGGAAGGGCTGGGAACGTGTTACAGGAATGGAGCCACGGGGGTTCCTCTGCCTCAGGAATGCTGCGAGGGGCTGCTGGGGCGAGGTTCATTGAGGATGTCAGATTCTCGGAGCTGTCTGCAGGCCAGGCGCTGCTGCCAGGGGTGAGTGATTTGTGTCACCAAAATCTTGGCTGGGGCTGAGGACATGTAACCATTGTAAGGTAAAACACCAGAAGGAGTCCTGGTTTCCAGCACTGGGCAGCTGGAAGGTGTCGCAGTGCTGTGGGGAACAGCTGAATATCCACAATGCTTGACAGTAATCTTGCAGAGCTGTTGAGGTGGCTTCATTTAGGGCAGTTGAAGCTGTGAGTGCTGAGAATCTTGGAGGATTGGATCCATCTTGCTCAGGCAGATCTGGAGTACTCTCTCTTTGTTGAAAGGTGCTTTTCTCTTGACTCATAAACCTCAGACAGAGCTGTTGGCAGCACCTCCAACATGGTGAAAATGAAGTGGGTTCCCTCTTTCTGTTGGAACAGCTACACCAAGCCCAGTTCAGTGTGCTGTGGGCTCGAGTGAGCAGGCTGGTTTCCAGGTCTTTGGGGGGGACATTGGAGATTGAGGTGGTGTCCAAAGACATTTTCTCTGAATGACAAGTCTAGCTAGTCCTGAGCTGGATCTCTGCTGAGAGCCATCTCTCCTGGTTCCATAGCATCGCATGAGTTGGGGTGGCACAGCAGGCTCGCTGTCCCAGAGCCCTGGAGAGAGGGTTATCAGAGGGTGCCTTACTGCTTTGGAAAGCCTGGCCTGCTCAGGGGTTCTGGAGCCCAGTTATTGCTGATGGTAAGCCAGTGTGTGTTCTGGTGCTGCTCTGGGTCTCTCCAATGCCTGGCACAAACCTGCAAGCCTTGGGATTTTTTTTAATTTTAGATTTGCTCTGAAGATGCAAACATTGTGAACAGCAGTCTTTTGTGCTTCCATGCAGTATAAGTCAGTAACTTATGGCAAGAAGGTAGAAAAGCATAAACCAAAGGCTCAAAAAGTTGGGGTGAGAGCCCAAGTAATTTAAATGAGGAAAGAAGCATCTTTTGTGTATCCTGCTCGTGAATTGCTGGGATGTGGTGGCAGGTTGAAGGAGCAGGATGGTGGCAGGGAGTTTGGGGAGGTGCACAACCATGGAGGTGTGAGTCTGGCCCCTCCTTGCCAGGCACCATTTATTTTTCAGCACTTCTGTCTAATTAATATAAGGCCTGCTCAGGCACAGCCGCCCTCGTTGGACGTGTCACTCGTTAATCACGCGACCCTCCTAGCCTTGGGTAATGACCTTGAAAGAATATATCAGCCCATGATGGCGGGAGTGAGGAATTAAATTGTTTCTCTGAGTGCTTATGGTCATTGCTGACAATTTATATGACACAGCTGCCCTAAGCTGGCCGTGCCGGCCATTGTGCCGCAATCATTTTCCCTCCGGGAAGCGCTGGCTGGGCAGGCCCCGCGCGGCTGCCCCGGCCCGGGAGCTCCTTTGTGTGAGCAGAAGGAGAAGGGCTCTGCAGCCTGGAGCCCGCCCGGGCCCTGAGCCCCTCTCTGCGGCCGCCGTGGCGTTGGCTCCAGCATCGAGCTCCCTTCAGCAGGGCATTCCTGACGTTTGCAGTGTGAGAAATGGGCAGGGCAGCTTCCATAGGCTTGGGATTTGGTAAGATTTGGGTACAAACACATCACGTAATCATGCACATTTGTGCGCAAAATTAGGCAGACCCTTTAATTACTATAAGACCCACATAATACTGTCTGTGTGTCCAAGGAAATGAAGAAGTAAATGTTAAGATACATTGATGTAAGCATTTATGGTTAATATCTGTATTGTTATATTTTTGTCTTTTCCTAAGTGTTAAATGTACTTGGGAAGGTATTTATTATTTGCCGATAATGAGTAAATGGCTTTCTTAGTTGTTATATATTGGTATCTGCTTTTAGACTGATGAAATAATTTGTTACAGTTATTCAATCATATTATTTATAGAAAACATGTAGCTGAGGATCTAAACATCAGATTGTTCTGCTGTTGCCATATGGGCTGCTTTTATCTAAATATAAACAGTTGATAATTATCACTGGAACTATTGGCTAAAATCACAAAATAGACCGAGAACAAATAACAATCTCATTCTTCATTAACATTTTAAAAATTAAATAGATGTCCTTGTTTATGCCTTCAGTAGATTTGGCTCTGCTTTTACAGAACTGTAAATGAACCAGAACATTTGTTTTGTATAATCTATACAGTATTTTATATGTATATTTGTATTGGTGAGCTCAGGCTGCTAGATTTTGAGAAGGCTGGTATATATCCAGCCCTGCAGAACTGGTATAAAGTACATCTAATAAAGTATTCATAGAATCCCAGAATGGTTTGGGTGGGAAAGGACCTTAAAATTGATCTCATCCCACCCCTGCCATGGCAGGGACACCTTCCACCGTCCCAGGTTGTTCCAAGCCCCGTCCGGCCCGGCCTTGGGCACTGCCAGGGATCCAGGGGCAGCCACAGCTTCCCTTGACAAATATTGCTTGCTTCCATCACAGACTCCTTTAAAATGCCTGGTCTTCTCATAGGGTCTAGTGGCTTATTATTCCTTTATTTTTCAGTTTTTTCCTGTTTCTCATCTCTACCACCTCCATGTGTGGGTAGGACACAACAAAGGATGTGTTGTCACCTCAGTGTTCTGCTGGCTTGAATACCTCAGGGAAAATTACGCAAGTCAGCAGCAGCCACATGAAACGTTCCTGTAAAATACAGACAAAAACAAGCAACAAGGCAAAAATGAAGATGGTGACTGGGAGGAAATACTGTCTTTGTATGGACGTGCTTTTTTAGAGTGTGGTTAGAGCAGAGAATGAGGAGTTTGTTTCCTTTTTAGTTATGCCAATGATTTACTGTATGAAAAAGGACAGATTATTTTGTCTTGTTGTTCCCATTTCTGTGTTTAAGATTAGAGTTCAAAAATGGCAGTAGTTCAGTATCAAGATTGTTATTCACCTGGGTTTGGTTTGACTGCACCTTGCCCTTTGCAAAAACCTGAAGGGATTCCTTGCAAAGGGACCTGCTGCCACCCTGGGAGGGCCTTGGCTGTAGGTGCAGCCTGGCCTGGGGCTTCAGCAGTGCCATGACACCCTCTGAGAGCCTGGCTGTGCTCCCTGAGCCCGGCCGTGGTGGCTGTGTCCCCTCAGCTGTCACTGTGGGGGTCCTGTGTCTGTCCCACCTGCGGGAGGGCAGCGACCTGCCGGTCACCTGCTCGCACAGAATCCCTCCCGAGGGCCAATCCACTGCAGCAGCGGCTCCTCTGAGCACCACTGCGGTTTGATGGTGAACCCCAAGTGGGTGGGAATTGCTTTAATTCCCCATGGGAGGTGTGCGGTCTGGATGTGGCACCAGGGCTCTGCACGGCAGAGCCGGCTCGTGGCCCGTCCTCTGTCCCTCTCTTCCCATTGGGACGAGAGCCCTGAAAGCCTCCTCAGCTGAGGCACCCAGCAAGATGTCGCCATTCCTTATTGAAATTCCCTCTCTAATCGGCTGAAGGGCGAGCGAGCGCTGCAGCCCCGTCCTCGCGCTGCGCTCGCCACGCTGACGTCAGCCTTCTTGTGCGGCAAGGATATTTTAAATTTGTTTATCTCTGTGATATCAGGTGGTTTGGTTGCTGGCAGCCCACATTAGCATGGCAGAGCAGCAAATATGTACATATATATTTATATTTAGCATTTTTTTCTGGTATGTTCAGCTGAAAAGGCTTGGCTTGATTAATATTTTCCGCTGTCCGGTAACCATGGCAATGGGGTCAGCAGATATAATACTTAATTTAATCTTCCAACTGCCTCAGTGTGCATCACCAGTGTCCCGAATAATAGAAAGCCTTTTGCTTCTCTCTCCCTTCCTCCCTCCTTCCCTCCCCTCCCTCCCTCTTTCTCCCTCTCGTTCTCTTGCTTCATATATTATTATCTTCGCCAGTGGCTCCCTCATATGACCCAGAAGGAATAAATGGAGGTTTTGCATTCCATGTATGTAGCTTATAAAATAAAGAAATAAAATAAAAACTCGGAAGCCCCTGTCCCCAGGCAGGCAGATCCCCCCAGCAGCTCGCAGTGGGTCCCCCCTCCCGGCAGGCTCGGCAGCCAATCTCCACGGCGTGCCGGGGCCGTGGGCAGACGTGGAGCGCTCGGCGCGGCTCCGGCGCGGCCGCAGACGCTCTCCAGCCACATGCGCCCGAGCGGACCTTCCTCCCGCCACCAAGCACCCAGCCTTGCTCTCCAGGTGGGTCCCGTCCATTGCTTTGTCTTTGCTCGGCCCAGGCCCCCCTTAGGTATTTCGTTTTGCTCTTTCAGCTTGATTTTTTTTAAAGTTGCTTTGGTTTGGTTGGTTGGTTGTTTTTAAACCATTGCAGTCTTTTTTCACAGTGAACACTGTCACTCTTGGGTTGGTTTTGCCGAAGGAGATGACCTCCCAGACAGATTTAGTCATACTATTTAAAAAAGGGGGGAAAAGAGCATTTTCCTGCTCAAATACTTGGTTGAATTGCCCAGTGACCAGAGGGGAGTGACCTGGTGCAGGTCAGGCTGCTACTCTCCTCTTCCCAGCTGTCCCGTGTCACATCTCTGGTGAAAAGAGAGGAACGTTGCCAGCAGGGATAGGAGTTGTTATTCCAGAGACAGAAAGGACATGAGGAGGGAGAGACACTTGAAATTTCCATAACCAAAGTCCTTTCTCTTATTTTTTAATCAATTATAACCCGTCCTTGAATTTAATCAAAGGATAGTTATTTTGTTTGTTTTCTCTTTTCTAATATGGTATTTGGGAAACAGAATGACTGTGACCTCTGGGTGAGTAAATGAGGGACATTTTCCTTTCCCACTCAGTGAAAGGAATGAGCTTGTGGGGTTTTTTTGTTGCCTCCAACACCATTTCTATGGGCATAAGGACTGAGCAAGCCTGCCGGGGTCTTGGCAGGGTTCTCCCGCTGCTCTCACTCTGTGATGATGGTCAAAGCCCATTAGGTGTTGTGACTTGGTGTTGCGTGACGGCTGGAAGGGCTAAGATTGGGAAGGAACTGAAGTTCATCCCATGAGTCCCGATCTGAGGCAGTGATTTGCCAAACTCCTTGGTCCCAGACAGAGACTGCTGTGGGACAAACATTCCGGCCTTTTCCCAAAGGGTGTCCATCCCTTCTCAGGGAGTGTGGGACCATGGCCAAGCTATGAGCAGGTGGGAACCCAGCAATGGCAAAACCCAACGATTTCAATCAGAAATGGCCCAAAGTCATTCAGCTGCTTGTAGCGGATAGTGAACATGGTGGTCCTGCTGGGTTTGAACTTCATGATCCTAAAGGTTCTTTCCCACCTTAACAATCTGGGATTCTATACATTAAACAAAAACCAAGTGTTGGTCCTCTCTCATGTTTCTGAAGTGCTCAACCATTTTTCTGGGTAACCTTTACCTTTTGTGTGCAGCCTGTTTTATGGTTCTTCTGCAGGACAATCTTTGGTCATTTAATCTCCGGGAATAAATCCCACCCATGATTTTTTTTGAGCAGAGAGGAGGCCTGAATTAGGAAAACTGCTCTGTCCTTTCCAAGGGGGAAAGAAGAGGCAGGACTGTGTGGGCTCTTGGAGTCCAGCATGGGTGAGGACCCCACAGGTTCGAGGCTTCCTAGTGATGGACTCCAGCCTTGACAATAAATATACAGTAACCTTTGTAGTAACTATATCTCTATTTTCTTTGTTCCAGAATATTCCATATATCCCACTTTTTCTTCTGTCTTTTTCCTTTCTGTGTCATTAGCAGAAGTACTGATGCCTGCATAGGCTTCATGAAGAAAATTACTGAGATGTGCTTTAGATTTGATTTAACCTTATTTTGACTATTATAGTTTAATGATTTTTCTTCTTTTAATATGTATTTAAGCATTTTATAAAGTCCCTTTCTGTCCCATAAATCTACCACATAACCTGCCATAATGCAACTTGGATAAAAAAGTCAGAAATTGAATTTTTTTTGTTTAACAAGTCTTTAAAGCAAATTAATGTTTTTTGATCCTAAAACACCCAAATCTTAAACTTACTTTTCAGGGAATAAGGACCTTCAAACTTATTTCTCAGAAACAGAAGGAAGATACCAGATCTGTTAGAAGTACAGATTTTCTCTCTTTTCTGGCGAAAAATCCAGACTTGGCTGTTGCATCTCACTGGGTAGAGCTGGCCCTGAGCCCCAAACAGGCTTGTGTTAAGTGCATTTCACCACATGTCCTTGTATCTAATCACGTGGATATTGTGATCACACACACTCTAAGTGTGTAAATGTAAGAGCTCTCCCTCCCATGCAAATTTATGCCACAGCATTAAAATATTACATGCACTAATCTCTGAAAATGTAGGAGAAAAATGTGGCAAATAAACAAGCATCCTTTCAGATTTACAGGATTCCTGCCAATCATTTTCTGTTTGATCTAGAAAGAAGAACAAAATTGAGTAGAAAACCGAAGTGAACCCCAAAAGCAGTAACAAAGCACTGCTGGCTCCAGACCTGCATCAGTCAGATCAGTTTAAAATGTCTCTGCCATAAACAAACACTGCTGCTTGTAGTACCTGCTCCTGGACAAGCATCTCTGCTTCTCTCCCCTTGCTCTTGTTGGAGCCTTCCACAGGGGCTGGTCCTGCTCAGCCTGACCTGCTGTCCCACTGACATCGATGGCAACTTCCAAAGAGAGAGGGTCAGTGATTGTTCCCTTCTAAGGAAAATTGTTTGTGTAAATAAACAGTATTTCTAGCCTTCCCTTTCCTCCCAAAACAACTGTTTCCTCGTTAGAAAGTGAAGGTGTAGTTTGCAACCCCCCTGAATGACACTGCTCAAACCCTCTTTGCCAGTGTGGAAGAACTGAGGGTGCAGAGATTTGGTAGATTTGGGAATATTTTCTTTGCTGTAGTTTGGCAAATGAGGTTTATTTTTTTTTGGTGATTTTGTTGTTTGTTGGAAATTAAGTCTTAGATGGTGTGACTGAGGGTCTGAAGTAGTATCTTCCCTACTGGGGCAGCTTGGAGCACAGGAGCTTGTTGCATGTTGGTGCAGAGTAGGAATTTGTGTGCTCCAAAGGGGTGCACTGGCAGGGCTGCTCCACAGGGTTTGTGCTCTGCTGTTCTTCTTTGTAAAGTCTTGGGAAACAGATTGGAAGCAATCTTGGGAGATCATTTATTCTGTATTTTTGTTTGATATGTGATGTATCAGAGCCAGCTCTTGCCATACAGAAAGCACTTTACTGTAATAAATAGCAATGATTTTTGCCAAGTTGAGGTTTGCTGACAGTTCCCAGATTTTACACTTCAGGCAGTGTATTTAAATTACTTACAAGGTGTAAATTGTTGTGTAGCTGCTGTGGAAGTCACGGCCTTTTTACTCCATTGCAAGCAGAAGCAGCAATGTGCAGGAGAGATGGGGTGTGACAGGAGCTGGCTCGTGTTCTCCCCACGTCTGTGGGCATCTCCCAGAGCCCTGGCCCTGCAGGGAAGCCATCCCAGAACACAACACAACACAAACACACCTGTGGGCGTGTGCAGGTCACTCGTGCCCGAGGCCGCGCAGAGGTCGCTTCTGTTGCTGTGCATTTCTCAAACAAAGACCATCCTTGCTCTCAAGGGTTTGTGTTTTGTTTGCCACCAAAGAGAGAAATACTAAAGAAAAAACTGTTATTGAAAAAGCCTAATTCAATACTGTTTATTGCTCAGAGTTGTTCTCTGTTGTTTGTAGTTTGAACTGTAGCCACCTCCTGCTTTTTCATTAATCATAATTTTCTCATGCTATAACATCTTTTATCCTTCTCTAATTTTCTGTTGCACTTTGCTTTGGTGTGGAGTTGTTGGTTGGTTTGTTTTCTTGGCCTTCTGCCGTTTCTAATTTGTGCCCTGTATCCACCCTCTGGAGCCCAGGGGTAAGGAAATGCAGGAGCAGGGATCAGGACTGGTGCTGGAAAGGGAGAAGGAATATTTGGGATGAACCAGAGCTGGGCCTGGCAGGTGCCAACCCGAGGGGCGGGTGGGCACAGAGCGAGGCTGCCCTGGCACAGGTGGGTGAAGGACAGCTGGGCCTCGCAGGGCAGCACTGGAGCTGCCTCTGAGGCTCCTGCCCTGAGGGGTGGGCACAGGGCACAGAGTGAGGCTGCCCTGGCACAGGCACAGGTGGGTGAAGGACAGCTGGGCCTCGCAGGGCAGCACTGGAGCTGCCTCTGAGGCTCCTGCCCTGAGGGGTGGGCACAGGGCACAGAGCGAGGCTGCCCTGGCACAGGGCACAGGTGGGTGAAGGACAGCTGGGCCTCGCAGGGCAGCACTGGAGCTGCCTCTGAGGCTCCTGCTCCTGCTCAGCCGCAGCTCCATTAAGCCACAGCCCTCGGAGCAGAGCAGCCCCTCCATCCTGCAGACATTTGCTTTACGTAAAGCAGCTCGCAGCTCTGTGAGTATTGATGTAGACATTACCACAAATCGCCACTTAGGGACCGGCAAGAATTGACTAACTGGTTTCAGATCCAATACACATAACCTGATCAGACGCAAACTTTAAGTACACTTGCAGTCGTGCCAACTGCACCAGCGGGGAAGTGACTCTTCTGCCGGCTCTTTAAAGAGGCCCTGAGGGGAAACCATGAAAAAATAAAGATATGGACTTAAGGCTCGTGCTGCAACAGTTGTAAGGTGAAGAGTTTGTCCTGGCATGAAAAATGAAAACACAATTGCTCTTTGCTCTTGTTTTGTAAATATTTTTTTATAAAACTCAGCAATTTGGGTTTTAAAGTCAGTGTGAATTCCTGAGATCATTCTGAATCTCCTTGATATTAAAAGGCCTGGATGCTCTCCTGTTCCTTGAGAAAGGACTGTTCATGCTGCCAGTTAGGCAAAACATTGACTTAGGGAAGAAATACAAGAGCAAGTGAGACCATTTCCTAATTTTCATTGTAAGTGGGATGTTTTCCAAAACTCTCGAGAAGTGCAGGGCAGAAGAGAGGCTGGAGCATTAGGTGGCCCTGGCTGATGGCACGTGTGGGCTGATCTCATGGCTGTGTCTCGGTGTGGGGAATTCAGCAGGACCTCAGGCACGAGGGTCTGGCAACAACAGTGAGCTCTGCTCTGGCAGTGCTAGAGACAGCAGCATTTCGTGGTTTTGGCATTGACTCGTGGTGTCACAGCTGAGAGCTCCACTCAAAAAGTTGGCAGTTGTGAATTTTTTAGTAGATCATAACAATCAAACAGGATTCTGCATGCTGGGATTGAGAA